CAGGGCTGGGGGGGGGGTGCCGTCAGCCTGGGGGTGCTGGGGGGCGGTTCGGGCTGGGGGCTGCCCCACTCACAGTGCACGTCCACCAGTGTGCTGACATTGGTGCTGCCGATGTCGTTGTGCACCTCGCAGGAGACGGGCTCCGTGAAGAAGGTGTAATCCACCTGCGTGTCGTACTTGTTCTCCTTGGCATCCTCGATGATCACCCCCCCCTTGGCCCACCTGGGGGGGGGCAAATACCCAAGACAGGCACATTCAGGGGGTGCACAGGACCCCCATGGCCCCGTTTGACCCCTCCCTGTCCCCATATGATGCTGAAGCCAAGCCAGGAGGTTGGGGAGGGACCTCCTGGGGTCCTGCGGGACCCTCACCTGTAGCCTTTGATCTCGGGGTTGGCGGTCGCCATGCAGGTGAACACGACCCTCTCGCCCTCCTGCACCGTCTGGGGCTGGATGGACAGGGTGACAGTCGGGGGATCTGCGGGAGGGCGGATGGAGCCGTCATGGGTGCTGGCACAGGGTCAGTGTGACAGAGGGCAAGGGGACAAAGGGACAATCCCAGGCTGCCTGCATCATCCCCTCCCCACGCTGCCACCCAGGGCATGGCCTGCGGCGCAGGAGATCCCAAAAGCTCTGATGCTTGAGTGCAGGCACTCAGCATCCCTGCCCATCGTGGGTGCTTGCTATGGGTGCCCAGCATCCCTGCCTGGTGTGGGTGCTCGCCGTGGGTACCTGGCATCCTTTCTTGGTGTGGGTGCTCCCATGGGTACCCAGCATCCCTGCCTGGTGTGGGTGCTTGCTGTGGGGCACCTAGCATCCCTGCCTGGTGTGGGTGCTCGCCGTGAGTACCTGGCATCCTTTCTTGGTGTGGGTGCTCCCGTGGGTACCCAGCATCCCTGCCTGGTGTGGGTGCTCACTATGGGCACCCAGCATCCCTGCCCACCGTGGGTGCTCACTATGGGCACCCAGCATCCCTTCCCGGTGTGGGTGCCCAACATCCCTGCCTGGCCTGGGTGCTGGCGGTGGGTGCCGGGCCCCGACAGGGCAGAGCCTTCCCACAGCAGCCACTGGAGGTCGGTGTTCACCACGAAGTCCCAGCCTGGCCTCCAGGCTGGCACTGGCCGGGTGGGACTGGGCGAATCCCCGCCCAGGGATCTGCAGGGGCCCGGCTCCAACCATGAGGCTGGGGTCCCCTGGGCACCCCACGATGCCCAGGTACCGTGAGAACTCATCTCCAGCTCCCTGCCCCAGTTAACACCCCTGTGCCACCAACATGCAGGGATCATCCCCTCCGCCCCCGGCACTGACTCACGGTGAACGTTGAGCTTGACAAAGGTCTCCTTGCCCGCCGGGATGGCATCATTGGTGCTGCGGCAGGAGAACACCCGCCCGATGTCGAGGTCGGTTGGGTTGATGGCGAGCTGGCTGGTGGTTGTCTCCCGCTTGCCGTCGGCCAACACCTCCTGCCAAGGAGAGGGGATGGTCCCCGTTGGTTCCCAGCACCATGCTGGGGACACTGAGGCATGGCGCGGGGTGGACAGGATGGATGCAGGGTCCCAGTGTGTCCCCATACCGTGCTGGTGATGGCTCCATCCTGCTGGAGCCCATCCCGATACCAGACGATGGTGGCTGCCGGCTTGGCGCTGCGTGCCCGGCAGGTCAGGTTGTACGGCGTCCCCGCACGCAGCAGGATCTCGGGGGCTCCGTCGATGGTGGGATCCTCAGGGGGGACTGCAGAGGGGAGAGGGGACACCGGGTGGGTGCAGGGCACAGGCGGACCCCGCTCTGGGGCACGTGATGCTGAAAAATTGATGCTGCTCTGATAAAGGGAGGGTGATTAAGGGCAGCGGAGGCAGACCTCCTCCCCGCTGCCTGCATCTGCGGGCAGCATTTGACGGCAGCGCGTCAACCGGGCCGGCGCCGCCTGGGTATTAATCCCCTTTTTGATGAGGAGCTAAAGCCCCGTTACTGATTTATTAGGCCTTGGCTCTCGGGGAGACATAAAGGCACCGTTTGGCATTGGGAAGAAGCCGGGGCAGGCAGAAGCCAGGGCAGGAGGCTGGCCTGGGGTGTCCCTGATGGGGCTTGGAGAGGGGGGCTCGAGGGGGTTCGTGCCGCCTGTATGGAGATGAATGTGCTGGAACAGCCTCGGCTGTTTGTGAACAGCCCCGGGGAGCTGGTGGTGATGATGGAAATGGGGACTGGGTTTCTGGTGGAGGAGTGCAGTTATAGGATGGGCAGAGAGGGAGGGTTCCCCCCTGCCTGGGGACCCCAATACCCACAGGAGCCTCCTCTGCCCAGAGACCCCCATGCCCAGGGACCCCCCTGCCTGGGGATCCCCCTGCCCTGCCCCAGCTGATCCCCATGCTGGGCAGGGGATGCAGGGGGACCCCGCTGAGCTTGGCAGGGGATGGAGGAGACCCCAGGTACCCCCACCCTTGGCAGTCCCACCCCAAAGATCCCCACCCTGGGGCAGGGCTGTTCCCACGGGCTCCCAGCCCCCCTGGCCAGGCTGGGGTCCCCAGGGACCGATCCTGCCCGGGGGCGCAGGGAGATGCTCCAGGGGCTGCAGCATGGGGAGAGCCGCGCTGCTCAGTACCCCAGCCACATCTCCCGCTCGCGCGCCTTTTATCTCTCGTCTTTCTAATGGGAATTTCAATGCCAGGGGAAGAAGGAGAAAGAGGAAAAAAAAAAAAAAAAAATTAAGAAAAGCAAGAAATCCGCCCCAAAACCCCATTCACGCAACATTTCCGCTGCAGCTCCGGCATCTTCTTTTGCTTTTTTTTTTTTTTTTACAAGACACAAAAGTCAGGGAAATCAAAGTTACTGCACTCGTAGGTCCCGTAACTCAGCCACGGTGTGAATATAGATTAAGGCATTAAAGATAATGGCACATCCAGGCTGCCAGAGGGAAGGGGGAGGGCGGCGGCGCAGGCAGCGACAGCTCTTCCTGCGCCTGCGAGCAGCGGCGCTGCCTGCGATGGCTCAGGGGACGTGGGGTATGGTGGGGGACGTGGGGTGAGGTGGGGGGCTGGCTCCTTACTCAGCACGGTGAGCTTGGCCCGGCGGGACCGCAGCGCGGCCTCAGTGGCCTGGCACTCGTAGACGGCGTCATCGGAGAGCTCGGCGTCGGTGATCTCCAGGTTGTACTGGCCCGAGTCAGCCGTGCCCACGATGCGGTAGCGTGGCCAGGCTGCGGGGACAGCACAGGGGGGGTCAGCATGAAGGGGACGGGGTTCACCCCAGGGCTGGGGGGATGCTCCAGGGCCCCTTTTTCGGGGAGGAGAGGCCAGTGCTGCAGGGAACCCCCTGCTGATGGAGAAGCAGCTCCTGCCCGTTTGGATACAGCCTGGGCAGACCTGGGGGGCTGCCGGCTTTTTGGGCGGGGGCCCCCCCAGCCCTGGCGGGGACATGGGCAGCCAGCAGGGATCTGGCACATGTGGGATCCCTGGGTCATGTGGGATCCCTGGCACATGCGGGATCCCTGGGATATGTGGGATCCCTGGCACATGCGGGATCCCTGGCACATGCGGGATCCCTGGCACATGTGGGATCCCTGGCACATGTGGGATCCCTGGAACACGCAGGATCCCTGGTGCATGTGGGATCCCTGGTGCTCATGGGATGCTCGGTGCATGCAGGGACCCCGGTGCGAGCTGGAAGGGGCAGATCCTGGGCACCCAGCCCCAGCTGGGTGCTTCGCTGCTGGGACACGTGGCACCAGCCCCGCAGCAGCCGGGGACGCTGCACAGAGAGCTGGGAAATGGGGCTACTGCAGGAGACGTAACACCCAAGAGGTGACAGCCCCTGCCCTACGCGGTGACGTCCCCAGAGCCGCCCGCTGCCCCACAGGTACCTTTGAGCCCCTGCCCCATCCCCAGGGCGAGGCCGTCTTTGGTCCATTGCACGATCCCGGAGTAATTGAGCACCACGCAGGAGAGGACGATCCTCTGACCCGCCACCACCGTCTGGTCCTCTGGCTCCTCCACGAACCGCGTCTGCGCCACTGGAGACAGAGGAAGGGGATCAGCCAGGGCCTGGGGTGCCCCGCACGCTGGTGGCTGTGCCAGCAGCGCCCGATGCTCCGTCATGCCGGTGGCTCCGGCACCACAGAGCTGCCTCCAGCACAACCCCACCAGGGTCCCCCCAGAGCTGCCTGCTGAGGTTGCAGAGGGGCTGCCGGGGGTGGGGGCCCCCCCCAAGCTGGGCTCTGCCGTAAATGTGTGTGCTGCCGGCCCCGGGCAGGGGATGGGGACCAGGACCCCAGGAGGGCAGTGGGGAGAGGGGCATCTCGGCAGAGGAGCCACCTATCCCCCGGCGGTTTCCCCCCCTTAAAAGCCTTTTTTTCTAAAATATTCAAATTATTTCCGCCACGGCGCGGGAGAGGGGAAGGCAGAAATCCCTTCTGGGGATGAACGAGCTGCGGATAACGAAGCTGCTGAGTCCCCAGCATGGCCTCCGCCTGCGTGGCCCGGCTGGGCCTGGCATGGCACAGTACGGCACGGCCGTGCTGCTCGCGCGGTGCCCCATGTCCTTGCCACGTCCGTGCCGGGCACAGCCGCAGGTCAGGCACCCCAGCCCGCTTGGGTTTGTCCCCAGCTTGTGCTGCATCCCCAGAGAGCTGGGGGGGGGCTCCGGCTCCCTCCTGCCTTTGATCCTGCAAACAAAGCCCCTGACAGCTCCCGAAATCCCTGCGCCGCGTCCCGGGCTGCTGCCTCCCTTCCCGGCAGCCCCCGCTCTCGCGCCGGCCCTGAGGACCCCGTGGTGCTGAGGCACAGCTGGGCTGCCTGTCCCCTCCAAGGGGGACGGGACGTGCTGGCGCTTGGCACCCTCCTCGCCATGCCTGGTGCGGGGGACCGATCCGTCACCATCGCCCCATGCCTGCCTGCAGGTCCTGGCATGGGGTGGGGGTATGGCAATCCCCAGGGTCTTGAGCTGGAGGGAGTCCCTGACCCACGTGCGGTGTCCCCAAGTGCCAGGCTGTGCCGCCAAGTACACAGAAAGGGTCAGCATCAGGCATCCCCAAAACCCCTGGATGGGGCACCCCAGGATCCCTGCGATAGGACACCCCCAGATCAGGCACCCCAGGATCCCCGCTACAGGGCACCCCAGCACAACAGGGTGCAGCAAAGGGGCCTCACAGCACCGCTGGCCACGCACCAGCGACCTGCAGACCGCAGCGGTGATTTGGGGACAGTCACTGCTCCC